CTAAAAACTCATGGATAACTAACAATGTTCTTCAAGAAGGAAAATGCTTAAGAGAAATGTCTATCTGATCACCAGTTATGAATAAATCGATGCCCAAAGCATGCTTACATATAAAATGAGATTGAGAGTACATAAAAAAACTATCGAACAGAATAGAATTAACTATTTTTATAAAAAAGATGGGAGTGCAGCCAACAAAACGAAAGAGACATGGAAAATAATAAACAGCGAACTAGGGAAACCAATGCATTTTGATGGTTGGAAATGCGCAAAATACATCCGAATTATTTGCTCAGTACTTTGCAAACACTGCTACATCTATCATAGCCACCAACTTTGGACAGAATTTAACCCTATCCTGCACCAGTAGTACGAATGTCAGTATCCAATACCCCTTTGATAACAGCCCTATATTAGAATCTGAAATATATGACGCTCTCAGATCAATGGAAAATAAGACGTCTACAAGCATTGATGAAATATCAATTATTACAGTTAAAGATATAATCAGTGCTATAATTGATCCACTTACCTATTTGATGAACCAGTCTTTCATACAAGGGTACTACCCAAAGGAATTTAAGAAGGCTTTGGTAATTCCCCTATTTGAAAAAGAAAATCGTGCTTAGATTTATAACTATAGACAGATCTCTCTACTATGCTCGCTCTCAAAATTGTATGAGAAAATTGTAGCCTCCAGAATAAGGTAGAAATCAACAACATGTTATGTAACATCCAGCATGGTTTCAGAAAAAATCGTTTCATAGTAACATCCTCTTATCACTGCCTCAGCAATATATATTCCAACTTGGATGCTGGTAACTTTGTTATAAGTGTATTCTTCAACTTGTCAAAGGCATTCGACTCTGTGTCATGGAAATTTCAGCCTAATAAGTTGATTGGACTTGGTCTTTTAAACAGTTTATTCAGATGATTGGGCTTCTATATGGAGGGGCGCTGTATGTCAGTCAAATATGGAGGTACCATGTCAGATGAGCATGCTGGTAAACTGGGCGTTCCTCACGGCTCAGTTTTAGGACCATTATTATTCATTATATTTATCAATGATTTGCCTGAATATGTGAGGGGCTGTCACATAACGATATTTGCAGATGACATCACTGTTACAGTCACTGGACATACTATGGACGACGTGGTATCCAAAATCAGTAACATTATCGATGAATTCACTTCTTGGTGTGAATGCAACTGACTAGTCTTGAACACCTCAAAATCAGTGACAATGAAATTTTATAACAGAAATAATAATACTCAAGATGCAGTGTTTTCTATTGGTGAAATCGATATGTCACAAGAAGTTAAATTTTTAGGAAAAATTGTGGATGAAGCCTTGAACTGGAACTCTCATATTTAAGTGTTTATATTTTTATTCTTTTGTGTTTTTACTACATATCGTTTTTGTTGGTTCACAATTTTTTTTATACTTCATTTCAACTATGTACTAAGGGCAAATGGTTTGATTTAATTGACGTAACATATGTATATATTATACCACAGTGATTTAATAAATTATTATTATTATCTGAAAAGTGTGACCTTTAAGGTTGTAGTGTAGAAAGCAATGAAATCACGAAACAGACAAAAATGATTTCTCTCTGGCGGAATGTCGTGTAGAGTGCTCCAAGATTTTCCACTGGTCCATTGATCCCGGTCTTAGGAGAAGTTCGTAACTTCAAAACTATACGCAAATTGAAATAACTTTACATTTCTGGATGTTGCAGAAATGTTGTTGTCGCTAACAACCCATATGGAATTACAAACTACTCTCAAACGTCTCTGTTTGGTCATCATTGGACGACAATGCGACTGTAATTTCGCAAAGGAGACCGAAACTTCTGAATGAGCGCAGCCGCTCACACAAATTACGAAGAATCGTCTCATATTTCTACTTCACGAGTTCAACGCTGATGTAATTGGAGATAAGTGAATTCTTCGGAGATTTTTTGAGAGTTGTGGAATTCAGAGAAAAAATAATTGAAAGCGCTACAGTCCGAGACCAACGCGTAGGCGAGTTTTCCGTGTTTTGGTCATGAAGAAGACGAAAACAATTTGATAACGATGAAATGATTCACAGGCGCAGTCGATGATGTGGACTTCTTGGTAGAGGTCATAAATATGATGGAGTAACTGATTTTAATCAAGGCTCTAGAGAAGCTTCAAAACACCCTAAAAACAATAAAGAATCGAGAGTATACTTTTTTCAACAAAACGTATACTCAGGAGAGCTGGAAAAACGGCTATGAATTCAGTTCGTTTTGTATTATCTGAAGCATTCTTGAGTTTCTTATTGAATTATTTTTTATTCATCATTCCCGAGACGGTTTCTGGTTACCCAAATTGAGTTATTGTGAATGAGTTTCGTGACTTTGTGTGCGTTCATCAAATTATTTCTAACAATGGTGTTTTCAGTGTCATTACTTTTCGAGTTTGAAAGCCGTGGATTTTTGGAATTTCTTCCTGACCCATTATCAGCGGCAGGGGTCTATCGCATACCGTGCACTTGTGAAAAGGTATATATTGGAACCACCAAACGATCCATGGGAACAAGACTAAAGGAGCATAAAAGGAACTGCAGACTAGGCCAAACAGAATAGTCGGCTGTGGCAGAACACGCACTGAGTGAAAGAGACCACAGAATTTTGTTTGAAAACACAGAACTAATTGCCCTCAACCAGGGATACCATAGCCGACTGGTACGGGAGGCAATAGAGATCTACAAACACACGGATAATTTTAACAGAAAAGAAGAAGCGGTGAACAGTTTCAAAACTAGTAGACCCCATAATCACAACTAGTTCATGAAATCAATTCAATTCGGCTGGTAACTAACAATACTATGTTATTCGCTTTTTTTCAATAATTCACTGGTTGAATGATAGATTTTCTGGCAGACGAATTGGTCGTAGCAATAGACTGTCCACCACGATCATCCGACTTATCGCCTCTAGATTTTTTCATGAGAGCATCTGGAATCGGTTGTTCATGAAACACAGCCTCAAGATTTGGAAGATTTGAAGAGAGAAAAATAGCTGCGTCTAGAGACTTCAGGCAGAAGTTTCTCGGAATGGTAAAGATGATTTTGAGAGCAGAACTTGTCATTGTTTAAAAAATAATGGACAATATTTCGAACATTTCACGACATTACTTGATTTCTCCAGAAGTACTAAGAAAAAAGGTCAGTTATGTGGTATTTTTGAAAATATAGCAGGTATAACCCCTCTTTCCATTTAAAATTGATCCCTGTGTTTTTATATGCTATTAGATTTCCAGTAGCAAACGAAATATATTTCTGTATATTCCTCACACTAACATATGTTTGATTTTTCCATTTTGTCCTCTCGCAACAAGACGTTAAAGAAAGTTGGATTAGCGTGTGAGGCATAACTCGGGAATGTTCGGAAACAGTCAAAAAATATTATTCATTAAAAAGTATAAATATGATCTCAACAAAGAAGAGTGGGACCTACCTACAATATATTAAAACTGTCACGATTGGAAGATGATGAGTGGAGTTCAGAGGATATTATTCATTCAAGTTCCTTTCACAAGTTACAAGTAAGTCGATGAATATTACCAACTTGTCAACAATATTAATGAAACATAAATATTATGATGGCCTGAAAAGTCAAGAATGTAGACTTCAACTGTATACATATAGTATTTCTTCAATACCCAAGATTGAGCTTGAGTTTTTTATATAAACAGACATATTTTTGGATATTAGTATACTATTCATTTGTTATTTTTTCTACTGCTCTACAGTGTAGATCAAGGATATTTTTATAGAGATAAGGATGTCGCGGTCTTGCGTTGGATTTTGCTTATTCATGTCAGAATTCCTTGAATAACTGCTCGTTGAGAAGTTTTTCGGTTATTGTTTGGTCTCCGAGTTTTTAACTGGTTGCAACTAGTAAGTAAGATTTCAATAAATGTGGTGATATGAGGACTGAAAATTGCAAGCTTCGATTATTGTTATTGCTGAGTTCGAGTCTGAATGGACTCAATTTCAGATTGCCTACCTACATTGTTTTTCTGGCACCAGAATAGCTGCCAGATTTAGTCTATTTAAATATTTTGCATTGGATGGATCTGACTGATTCCAGTTCACTTCCTGTCGTCCAACCCGCGTTAGGAATCACACGTTAAAAAGTGCGACTTTATTAGTCCTTAGCTCTCACAAGTTTCAACTTTTGAGAATTGTCGTTCGTAGGTGAGCGACAGCTGGTTAACGGGAAAACAGATTTTTAAACAGATGAATATTGCCTTGTTGGTAACAAATTGTCGATTCAACTGACTTACAGACGATTTAGTACTTATCTAATTCGGTGAAACATTTTAAGAGGTTTTTGTCAATTGAGTATGTACTTTTTCTTTCCCAGTTGAAAATATTTTCTCATTTTTCATATTTTAATTTTTTTATTAACTCAGTATTGAGTTAGGTACATCTAATTCAAAATAATTGATTTATAACTTCTTCACCGACATATTATTATCAGATTGACAAGCATCGGTGGTTCAGTGGTAGAATGCTCGCCTGCCACGCGGGCGGCCCGGGTTCGATTCCCGGCCGATGCATTCTTTTTCTTATTTCACTATTTATTTTTCTATAAACTTTCCCAATGCAGTGGTGACACCCAATCGCAAAAATTTGAGAAATTATCAAGAAGATATTTTGATTTATTCTCAATTCAACAGATATAGCTACAGACAGACGGATTAGAAAAAAAATTGATAAGGGTCAGTTTATCTCAATGTAAATTAGGGACATTTTACCAAATAACAAAGTTTAACAATGTATTTTACGACTCCTGTCGTATAAAAATTGACTTTTGTATGGGACAAAGTAGACCTGCCTGTGTAAGCAACCTAATAAATTGATAAATGAAAATTACTAATTCACCTACCCTGGTACTAGCTCACGTCTCTCAAACAACTGAAGGCAACCCAAACAACGAACGATTATTTTATGGTCGACTTACCTGAATCGAAGGCAATCTCGCTGATCAACATCCACTTGTCTGCGAAAGACAGTCGCAGTTTGACGAATCTGGCTAACCGACCTCGAAGCCGAATGGTGATGTTCCTAGCAGATTCTCGCATACGGTCGGGCGGAATGATGGCACGGATGCTTTTCGGCTGATACCTATCGCCGTCTAGGCTTAACCACACTTCTGCTTCGGCGAAGACCTGTGGATAACGAGAAACTTATATTAAAGTATATAGAGAAATTTTAGGAATATGACTGATTTTTGGAAAGAAATGGTAAGTACTTGATGAGTGAAGTTTGGAACCTCTGGCGTAAAATTAATCTAATAATATTAATATGCTTTATTGCCCAAATAATATTCTCCTAAGTAAGTTATACAGTTATGGTATAAGGGGTATACCATCGGCATGGGTAACGGATTATCTTTATCACAGAAAACAATATGTCGCTATTAACAATGTAACTTCCAGCATTGTCCTCTCCAAATTAGGAGTACCTCAAGGGTCGATATTGGGACCTATATTGTTTGTATTGTACATAAATGAGTTGGAGTATGCAACGCCCGAAACATTCATAACAGTGTATGCAGATGACACGTCGATTATAATCTCTGACAAATCAGATTTAGTTTCGAAAGAAAAATGTAAGCATGTTTTTGGAAGTATTATTTAATGGTTTTCTATGAACAATTTGTTTTTGAAGGCGAAGAAAATATATTCAATGAGACTTCATCATCAGCAACGGGAATGTGATCTTATTAGTTTTAGAACAATTGATAATTCCGACACAGTAACAACAGAATGTACGAGCTTAAAATTTTTCGTTCTTCATATTGATGAATGTTTGAATTGGCAGAACCACTGTGATTCCTCACTAAGAAATGGAGTGTGCTTCTGGAGTCTTTCCTCTCGCTGCTCTGACGTCTTTACAGCACAAAAAAACGTATCATTAGTGGCACAAGTAACCGTGATTCATGCAGAAATGCTTTTAAACATTTAAGAATTCTAACCGTTCCCAGTCTTTCAATTTTTGACTTATGCTTGTATGTTTTTGAGAATAGAAACAAGTTGTTTGTACCAAATGAAAGAAAGCATAATATTGATACAGGACAAAAAAACAATATTTTTGTACCATTTGCAAAAACCAAATTTATCACCCGATCAGATGGCTCCATTTGCCTATAATTTGCTTCCAGATATTATAAAAAAATCCAAAACCATGTATATCTTTAAAAGAAAACTCAAGGATTTTCTTGTTGATAAGTGTTATTATCGCTTAGAAGACTTTATGTGTTTAAGTAGGTGCTTGTCATCTTTTTTTCAGTAACTTCTAGTCTCCGATCTCTTTGGTTTTTTTATTTGACAATTCCTATACAAATTCTATAACTATGTCAAAAATAATGAAAATGAAGATTTATTATTATTATTATTATTATTATTACACATATATACACACACATACATATACACATATACATATCTATACACACATATATACATATACAGAGTACAAATAATATTAAAATAGTACAAAATTCATTAAAGATATCATACAATAAAAAAATACCAAAAAAGTGTCGAATGTTCAAATGCACTTCACAATACTTTGTTTAATAAAAAATACAGTTGAGAAAGTAAATTAGAGAACTAATAGAACTCTTCTTAACAATAATAGTCTTTTACTGATTTTCGAAAAACACAGTTATCCTCTAAAATTTTAGTATTGCCAGGTAAATCATTGAACATCTTAAGACCATTATTATCTGTTTAAAAAAATCTGTTTCTGTTTAAAATCTGTTTTTCCGTTAACCAGCTGTGGCACCCCTACGAACGACAATCCTCAGACGTCGAAACTTGCGCGAGCTAAGGATTAACGTGGTCTTACCTTTTAACGTGTGATTTCTAACACGGGTTGGACGATAGCAAGTGAAGATCGATCGTTCAGACTAGGGCTTGAACCACCGACCAACACGGCAGTCAATTCGAGTGAGTGAACAAAGCACCCACGCCGAACCGCTTGGCTATCGACCGACCATATATAATGGTCTTTGACTAGAGTGGAGGCTAGTATGGGTTGTCTTAGGTCTTTAGATTGACGAAGGGCATAATAATTGGAGTAACCAGTAAATATAAATTGATGTATGTTGATCAAACATACTGTTTCTAGAATAAAGATTCCAAAAACTGTCGAGATTTTATATAATTCAAATAGGGGTTTGCAGGAGTCTCGACTTTTAGCATTGCACATGAATCTTATAGCCCTTTTCTGAATTATGAACACCGTCTGCATTTGAGTTTTGCAACATACTCCCCAGAAAGGAATTCCATACCTGAAATGCGACTCAACAAGTGATAAATGAGCCGATTTAGCGGCAGAAAAACCAAGATCCTTATAAGTTATTCTCACTGCAAAACACCCTGAAGCTAGCTTTTTATTGAGGGTTACAATGTGATCGGCGAATTTGAGTTAATTGTCAAGTTTTACACCCAAAAATTCAGTACTAGGTCTGTTTTCAATGATCCTGTCCGCGTCCTGTGTTGGTAAAGGAGTGCTGTCAATAAGAGCAGCGGAATGATATCAAATTGTTTTCGAAACATTGAAAGACGGCAGATTAGAGTCGCACCATTTTTTTTTATATCTCGTGGAGATTACATAAAGTTTTATCACGCCTTAATATTGTGGTGTCATCGGCAAATGGGGTAAATTTTCCTTCTATATCGATAGATGCTAAATCGTTTATGTTTAGCAGGAGAAGTATCGGTCCCAGTATTGAATCTTGTGGTACGCCTTTTTTTATTTCGCCTTCTGATGAGGTTTTCACAATCTGACTTCTTTCTGAGAGAGAGAATTCTTGAACCACTTATGCACAATTCCATGGATGCCGTAGTCATATAATTTTTTAACATTGAAAACATAATGAAAACATATTTTCCTCACCAGAAAGAAGATGCTCTCTCTAGACAGACTTCTGCTACCCAAGTCAGCAGGAGATGACTAAAAACAATTCTTACAGCTTGGGTGATGACAAAATGGTTGAGGTCGCGACCGAGGTTTCTAATCCTAATCATCAAAATCTATATTGAAATCCAAATCTTGAAAAGTAAAAAAAATAATAATCAATACCAAAAAATATATATTTTTCAATTATTAAAAAATCTTTTTATTTATTTTATACTCACGTTTCTCGAAAATTTGTTTAAATATTTCGTATTCATCTGATATATAGGTCTGTGATCTATGTCATTTAACGTCATCTTTGTTATAGGTAGGTTGCAGTTCAAGTGGAGTTTATTTTTCAGATAATGTACATGGATGTTTGTAACTGCATAGTAAAACATTTTTGTCGCTTTTGTACATAATTTCAATAATGTTAATATGATGCCCTTAATCATACCCAAAATTTCCATCACAATTTGTCTGCAGTTTTTGACACGTAAATATGATTCAAGTTATGTTTTTTTTTCAAAACGTATTTATGATGCTGTCTACCATTTTAAAAACAAAAACCACATTTCTTTACGTGGGTAGAAAAAAACTGTTCACCAGGTTAAATTTAAAATGCAGGGGCCTACAAGTGAGACAGAAATCAACTTTTGAATTGTAATTTGTTTCTCTCGACGCTAGTGGTTCAATTTATACCTGAACACATGCTATGATTGAAAGCGATTGGAAAGTATTGAAAAAAGTAAATAAAAAACTAAATGAAATACCTATATTGAAAATGAAAGTATTTCCTCTAACATAAATCCAAGATACTGAAAAATAAATTCATAGTTGAATAAAATCTTGAAATTACCGAATAAACTTAGTATAAGTACAGATGGAATTTCAAATACATAATCCAAAAACAAAGTATTTTGGAATGAGAATTGGCGAATCGAAAAAAAAACTTTTAAATTCTTGTTAGTTTTTTTTGACATAGATACAGTTTTATTTGATATCATACCTCTGAATTTTAAAAAAGTTCTTGTTGAGAACATTTTGAAAATGTTATAATTTACAGGGTGATACTTTTGAAAATGAATTGATTTCGAGTTTAAACTAAGTCTGTACATAAAATGATATACTAATTCAAGCTAGTATAGGGTGACACCTCAACTAGTCATCAATACGAGGTCGGTTCAAAAATAAGGTGAATTTTAATTTTTCCAAAGAAATATTCAATAATTGAAAAATTTCTATTTCACATTTCAGATTTAACACAGCGTTTTTTCCAATCCTCAAAGTAGTTCTGATATTGATTGACATGATTGATATTATTGATATGAACTGAACTCTTTCAGCGAATCGGATTGTATCTCCTCAATTGTCGCAAAACGCCGTCCTTTCATGGATCTATTCAACTTTGGAAACAGGAAAAAGTCGCAGGAGGCTAGATCTGGTGGTTACGGTGCCTAATGCATGATTAATGGTGTTGTTTTTGGACAAAAAATTACGAAAAAACAATGACGAGTGGGCACGTTCATTATGCAAAAGCCATCAATAGTTTTTTCCACAATCTGGACATTTTCTTCGCACTGCTTTTCGCAAGTAGCGCATCTTGAAGATGATCACTCGGTGATCGAAATACGTGTCGAGGTGTTAAAAATAACGGTTTGGTGTTGAGATTAATTTCCAGTGATTCACTCATTTCCACTCAATTGAATTGTTTACACAGAAATTTGATGTAAATTCTTCGATCCTTTTTTTATAGCAGAAAATCGCCGAACAGGCAAACTACTTTTAACTTTTGTGCCTCTCACCATCAAACTGAATATGCTAAACAGCTGAGATTGTTCACATAAGTTCGAGACGGGTGTACCAACATAAAAAAATTGCTAATCGATCGTAGGTAGCCCGCGAAATTTAAACATTCACACAATTTTTTGAACAGATCTCGTTTATTCAATATCTGAATGCTCATTTCTAACTTGTAACAGTTGTATAAGATCAGTGCCAAGTAAGACATTGAGTTAACTCTATTTCTTATTGAACCAATACAAGTATTTTATGAAAGACATGAAACAATTTAAAAAATGATGTAATAAATATATTATTGGTATGTGCCGTGAAAAACTTAAAAACATCTTGGTTGGCTAAATTTAAAACTTTCAATCCCCCAGTAAGAATCAACCATCGTATTAGTGTACTAAGTACGCTCCAGGAACATAAAAGTTTGAACATGGAGTTTATCCAAGAGAGTGCGAAGTAATTCGGCAAA